CGTTACTGGCTTTTTTGCTATGAATGTATGAGTTTGTCTCTGGCTTAGGGCTGAAACTTTTTAATCTCTGCATTTGAATTGATGGTGGCTACGATAGGATAATGTGAGGTGTATCTCAGCTATTTGTTTATCTGGGAAAAAATGTTCATCCCGTGAATCATTCCAACATCAAATTAAAATGTTCATTAAAGCCTTGAGCGAGCGAAGAAATGCATCGCTCCTGCGCGCTGGTCCAGGGCAGATCCCTCCCCGCTGGCTTCTGCCCTCTCCCCGTGTGGTGGGGGCCAGCGACCGCCAGCAGCGACCTACCTCCCCCTTCCCCCTTCCTGCAGCAGGCAGGACCCAGAGGGGTGCCTCATCGCCAAAATGCTGGTGGCGGGTCTGGCTCACTGCCCGGCTTGGACTCTGTCCCTATGGCCAGCCTTTCCCTTGTCCCCACCTTGTTGGATCAGCTGCCCGGGGCAGGGGGGAACCTGCTGTCACCTACCTCTGCTGAGTGGGGCTGGGTGGGAGGAGACGCAGAGCATTTCCACCTTCTCCTCCCATGGACAAAAAAACTGGCAGATGCCAAAGGAGTCAAAACCGAAAGGTGTTAAAGGCCAAGCTGTCCCGCAGCATCCGTGCGAAATGCAGCTGGCTGCGGGCAGCAGCTCACTGGTCCCCGCCTTGCCTGGGACCAGGCCTCGCGGGCTGGAGATGAGGAGCGGGGCGAGGGGAGCGGGGACCTCGCACACGAGGCAGTGGGGCACAGCTGGGAAGAGGAGCCAAGTCTCACTGATGCTAATGTGCCACGGTCACAAGAATGGGTTTTTTTCCTTCTCATTCAAAGTGGCTTGTACTGCAAACCCCTCCCCTGCATCTTTCATTAGCTTCCCCTTTTTATCACCTGAGATCTTCATTTGCCCCTAAATTTGGGAAGACTGAGCTAGCCCTCGGGGCAGCCGACTGGTGCAACGACTCAGTTTCCCTCTCTCACTCTCATGACGTGAGAAAAACACTGAGCAAGGATTTTTCCCTATCACATGTTCTGCTGCTGGCACCACGAACCAGACCATTCAGAAGGGCTTTGGTCCCTGCCTCGTCGTTCATGTGACTGCTGACTGCATCCAGAATGTGAAAGGTTACCTGCTCCGTGCAGATAACATCAACTGTTGCGCATTTTTCGGTCATCGCCGAAAACAGCAGCCGGTTTCGTTGGCCCAGCGCTGGAGAAGAGACACCGGCCCAGGTCTTGCAATGTTTTCCTTCAGCAGGTGTGGTGTTGTGATGAGCTGCAGAGTTTCGCAGAGGTATCCTCCAGCTTGGTGTAAATATTCAGCTGTTTTGGCGGAGGGAAGAGGGTTTTTCAATTTCCTCGGTTCACACAGACAGCCGTTCCGCTGTGTGCACATTAGAAGCTTTAACTGCCTGCCTGCTTGTTCAAGGCTTCGGCTTGAAATGGAAAATGAAATCATCTGTGATTTCTGAGGGAAAGGGAAATGGCAAAGAAACCTTTTGAGGCCAGTCACTAGCTTGTATTTTACCTGTCCCTTAGGGGTACCGAAATGATGGATTTTCATCAAGATCATGTGAAAAGGGGTAGGGACTGAGGATTGGAAAGGCTATTTTCAAATAGCTACCAGAAAGAGGTTTTCCATGCTAGAGCAGACTGGATGTTTTTACATTAGTTTTTCATTCTTACCAGGAAATTTTTCTTCTGGTGTCCAAATTCTGGTAACTTTAAACAGTTTCGCTTGGAAAACATTTTGGTGACACCCGTCAGCGCTTTGCTCTCCGCGGGGGATTTAAGCACCAGCCCAGGAGGCTAAAACACCACCAAAGTGTTGCAGGAAGGATATAGGCAGGGTGAAAGTGATGTTTTTATCCTTGGGGATTTTGTCTGGGGAGAATACAGCAGGATTTGGTGCTTTCTGCTTGGAACTGCTCTTTTTCTCCATGCACGCTCACCTCTGACGGGTCAGCGCCGCGGCAAGCAGGGTGCTGCGCCAAAAGGCGCCAGACGGCAGGATGCTTGGGGAGGGGTGAAACCAGGGTGTTTTGAACAAGGCTTTTTGGGGCCATTTCCTCATTTTTCCCTCTGAGATGTTGTATTCTGTGAAACTGCTACTACATAGCTCCACGGGGTGCTGGCAGGGAGGGTGAGGCAGGAGGTGGACCACCGGGCACCTGCGGGACCCAGGGCTGCATCTATGCCACGTTCTGGGAGCTCTTTTGGAGGGCAGTCCTGCCTCTTAGGGTTGGACAGCCCTTCCTGTTAAAAGCCTCTGTTTTTGGCTGCTTGTAAAAATTAGCGAAACCTCAGCCAGCAAGGCACAAATCTTCCCTTCTAGTTGCTGCCTTCTTAAAAATGGGTGAAATCTGAGCCAAAATATTCAGCTGTCTGAAAAAACCAAATCCACACTTGGAGGGACAAGGCGGGAGCTCTTTCTGCGGTGGAGGGGAGAGACGCCGGGGATGGATGTGCAGCTGGGGAAGGCGGATGGGTGCTGGGACAGGGCAGGTCTCCACAGCATCGTTGCAGGGGGCGTGAGAGGAGTAAGCAGACAGCTGGCGCAGGCAGGTTGTTTTTTCCCCCGGACTGTGCCTTGTGCAATAGCTGGCAGTGGCGGGATTGCGTATTCCTCATGCTGCTGCCGGACCCCGTCTTCCTGTGGGGCGAGAGCAGCTCTGTGTTCTCCAGACCATGAGACAACGAAGCCAAAGTTGTGTCTCCAAGCCTCAGGTCCCAGGTACGGCCGGCACACGACACCAGACCTGAACCCCAAAAGC